GGTCTGTTTACATTTATTATAATCATTGATATGTGTGGGTTAAATTCTAACATTTTGTTGTCATTTTCCTTTTATTCATGTAGTGTTTTATTCCTTTTCACTTTTCTGGCTTTCTTTTTTATTATCTGGGCTGTTTTTGTAGAGTTCAATTTTAGTTTCTATTATATTTTTACCCTTTACCTCTTCTCTCTTCTAATTTTTCAGTATTCACTCTAAGGTAAATAGCATCCATCCTTAATGACACCTATATTTGAGTCAATTTTGTAACTTCACTCTTCAAATTTGAAAATATACAGAACAAGCAGATGATGCAATGGTTACGTCGCTGGACTTCACGGTCTGAGTTCCGGACGTGGCGACTTAAAATTCATACCAGATGCATGAGCATGTGTGCCCAATATCGCAAGAGGAGAAGGGATTGTGGTGTGGCCATCCCCCCAGGGGGTGATTTTTTGCTTTCTGTCTCTGTCTCTCCAGTGAGTGCACATGCCCTATAGCAAAAATCTCTAAAAAAAAAAATAATAATAATAATAGAAAGAAAGAAAAGAAAAATACAAACTTCTTCCTTTTCTACTCACAACACGACTGATACTACTCATTTCCTACTTTCTACTTCACAAATGTAATAACACAGCAGTATAATTTCATCCACCTTTTCATGTAATTTGTGCAACTGTTATTTCAAAGCAACTTGCAATGGCCAAACAGCCTATTTACCCAGCTATTTGCTATTTTCAGTGTTCTTGTTTCCCTTTTATATATCTAAATATTCATCTGGTATCCTTTGTAATCTGCTTGAAGAACATATGTGTAGTGGAGTTCTGCTGGTGACACATTCTCTCAGTTGTCCTGTAGCTGAATACAAGGAGTCCTCAAAGAGTTGACGGAAAATGTGTATTATTTAAAAAAAACTATATATAGATTTACAAATTCTTTTTTTGAGTTCTCCAACTTTATTCTTTTATTTATTTATTTATCATCATAATCTTGTTTATATTACACTGAATTGTATATAACTTTACAGTGTATTACACTGCTTTTTCAAAAGGGAATGCCACGCATGTCAGTGAATACGGAGACATTAATCTTCCTGCTTCACCATTCAATAACTTTTCATTGTTTTCCCCAATCATTATTATTATTCCAATTATTTTTTTAAACTGTCAATCACTATTTCTCATTTTGCTTGTAAAAAGACTTTACCCATCATGAAATACTTCTCAGACCAATCCAGTTGAGAATACTATACATGTCATGATTGACAGGTAATAAGCCATATCTGTTCCCCACTAACGTCCTGCCTCTCGATTGTTCTCTTGCTATCTTTCTCTATCCTCTTCTCTTCATCCCCCCATTCCAAACTGTCTTATTCTCGTTAAGTACTTTCACTGCTTTTATGTCCTCCAATATTTCGCTCTCTACCATAGAGTGCGGATAGTCGGTATATATTAAGTGGATACATACAATATCTTTCTTTCATTGCCTGGCTTACTTCACTCAGCAATAGATCCTCCATAAACCAAAACAGACTCATACTTTTAATTCTATTTTTCCATAAACTTCTTGAAGTCCCCTTCTACATTACTTTGTCCATATAATTAAAGGCTATTTTGATTGGATATGAGTTCAGTTTTTTTCTTTTTTTAATATCAACTTGAGAAATTTGTTACACATTTCTTCAGATAGTTTTTCTGCTGTTTTCTCTCTCTTTTGTTTCTGTGCATTCACATTGTGCCATGGATGCTTGAGGTCCTACTAATGTTTCCTTAATTTTGGTCTCTGCACTTTTTTGGTTTGAGATTAGTTTCTGTTAATCTCTATCAAAGATCACAGAGTCTAACCTCCTTCTTTATCCAACCTGATGTTAAGTCTATCCAACAATATTTCATTCTAGTATTGTACTTTCAATTCATTTCTACTTAAAAAAAAGGAGAGAGAAATTTGTTGCTGTAGTTTCATAGTAGTTTCAGGTTTGCAGCAATACATGAAAAAGGTATAGTAATATCTCCTATATCCTCCACTCCTATACATGCATAGCCTCCCCCACTATCAACATCCCCCATCAGAGTAGTACATTGTTATAACTAAAAAACCTACACTGACGCATTATGATCACCCAATGTTCATGGCTCATCTTGGGGTTCATGCTTGGTGTTGTATAAGGGACCTCAAGAAGTTCATGGAAAAATGGAAGCAAAATATGTGGTTATTTTGGTGTAAAATTTTTTGAAACTTTTTTTTATAGTAAGCATTTTCCATGAACTTTCTGAAGACTTCTTGACCATTCTACGGGTTTGAACAAATGTGTAATGGCATATATCTACCATGACAGTGTCATACAGAGTAGTTTCACTGCTCTTACGCTCCTCTGTGCTCCATCCGTCAATCCCCCTGCATCCTGGCAACCACTGATCTTTGTACTGTCTCCATATAGTTGTGCCTTTTCCAGAATGTCCTATACTACAGTTGAAAATACACCATATGCAGGTTTTTCATTGACTGCTTTCACTCAGTAACATGCCCTTGTTCCCTCCATGTCTTTCCACGGCTTGATGGCTCATTTATTTTAGTACTTAATTGTACTGCATTGTCTAGATGTATCACAGCTATTTATCCATAAAGGATGTCTTGGTTCCTTCCAAGTTTTGGCAATTATGAGTAAGGCCATTATAAAAATCCATGTGCAGGTTATTTTGTTTGTTTTGTTTTGGAGTATATATATATGTGTATGTGTGTGTGTGTGTGTGTGTGTGTGTGTGTGTGTGTATGGACAAAGACATTTGTACAAGGTTTGCTTTACATCATGAAAAAATGTCTCTCATCATGTATGACACTGTAAAAGCACTTCTCAGTAGACAGAGTAAATATGAGAAATAATCACATACACGAGTAATTACATTGCTTCCTACATTTTAAATTCATGATCTCTTACAAAAAGTGATTCAGAAAAATGTCCATTTCCCCAAATACTGCCTAGTTACAAAGATTTCATTAAAGATATTTCAAGTAGATTTGTTATCCTTGAAAAGTCCATTATGTTTGTTATGAAATGAAATTTTTCACATATTATAAATTTTGGCAAATTATAACCATCAACTAAGTAGGGTTAAGCATATTTTTAAATAGTCTTAAATTATGTTTTGTGGTTTAGCATAAAGGAAGGAAGGAAACTACATAAACAAGTCAGCAAAAAGAACTTTGTCGCCTGCAAGAATATTCTATTATTGAGATAGAGAACATTTGGTGGACTGTCTGGAAGTTCAAAATACAGAGTATATACGATTACATTCTGTTCTATAAAGCTCAGCACTTCCACTTTAAAGGTATATAAAGTTGGCTTTAAAAAAGAGAGAGAGATTTTTGGTATAGGGCATATGTGCTCACTGAAGAGACAGAGAGAAAGTGAGAAATCACCCACGGAGGGGATGGCCACGTTGCGATCCCTTCTCTTCCATTCTCCTCTTGGGATTTCAGGCATGTAGGCACACATGCCTGCCATGAGTTTCATGTCTCCAGGTCAGGGACTCAAACCATAGTTGACCATGTGGAAATCTAACACCTTAACCACTATGACACCTGCTGGCCCCTATAGTTGGATTCTTCAGAACTGTTGAAATAATACTGGTAGATACTTAAACACATCTTTGAAATGAAGTGCATCCTTCTATCCCTCTCACTACCTGTCAACACTCAGGGAAACCTTCAAAACATAAAAGTATTTCAAGATATGTTGTACCCATTCAACTATTCTTTTTTTTTTGGGGGGGGGAGGTTTTTCTCTATAGGGCATGTGTGCTCGCCAGACAGAGAGAGACATAGAGACAGATAGTGAGAAATCACCCCCCAGGGGGGATGGTCACACCGCAATCCCTTCTCCTCCATTCTCCTCTCAGGATCTTGGGCACGCATGCACACGCGCCCGGCGTGAGTTTTAAGCCACTGGATCCGGGACGCGAACCGCAGTTGACTACGTGGGAGTCCAGCGACACAGCCATTACGCTAACTGCCGGTTCCCAGCCATTCAACTATTCTTATTATACCTTAACTTCCTCTTGGTGGTGGTGGTGTTGGGGGGGTGACATTTAAAACTGTTGGAAGTGATATGCAAGGTAACTTAGGTTTGTAGGGCAGACAGACATGAATACTACTGAACCAAAATCCTAGGAACAAAACATCAAAGTAGGTTCAGTCCTTCAAGTTTTTAATAGATACCTAGATAGTTTACTTTCATGCTTCACTTTGGTTTTGAAGATCATGAGATAAAGCTTATACTTCTTTACACAAAGTAAACTATAGAATTTGAATAGTTATATAAAATTTAAGATTAAACAAAAGCAGTATTATATAACAGAAACATAAGTGGGCTATTCCTTCAACCACTTAGATCTGGGTGGGCAGTCCTGTAAACCACCAGCCCACTGCCAACTTGTATAAATAAAGTTTTATTGGTATACAACCATACTCATTCACTAATGTATAGCCCATGGCTGCTTTCACACTGTAACAGCAGAACTAAGGTGTTGTGAGAGAGATCTTATGGGGTGCAGAAACTAAGATACTATCTAGCACTTTACAGGCAAAATTTGATTATTTGATTCAGGGAACTTCTAAATTGTATAACTCATTTAGTTCCTTAAATAATACAATATATATACACCAGTCTAAGCAGAAGGAAATTCCAACTTAACTTAGAAATATAAAGGTACAACTCTATAGGAAGAATTAAATTTTAAAAGACTTTTAAAGTATGTATGTATGTACCATACTTAAAGAGTCTTGACAAGAAGCTTATAAAACATTTATACAGATAGATACATAATAATGTTCATTTCCCTTCCAAATTTAATTTATATGCCATTTTTGGACTTCTTGCTCACAATATCTGAATTACAGCACCATTTTCTGGAAGCTAAGAAGATCGATTGCTGGGTTAGTAGTCAATTAACTCTGAGACAAGCTTATTATGCATACGGAGCAGAAATAGCAAATGTGTTGCTCACCTGGAGGGGTGTAGGCATCCATCGAGGTCTGCACAACCAGGGACCTGCGTTTGGAAGGCATAGGCACTGCCATCTTCCTCTCTTTGTGTTTAGCGAGAGCTGCCTGCACAGCTTCCGTATGAACATCTGGAACAGAAGAGAGCACAATCACGCTGTTGTTCAGCTAAGGTCCTGAAGGTCCTGCCTCCTCTCCTGCCTCTCTTACCCATGGTTTGCTGAAACTGACAAAAGGACGGGCAAGGATGGAGAAGAAAAAAATTTGAAAGCTCACTTAAAGGACATTAAAATGTAGTCACAGACTTTAAATTCACCTCTTACCAAAGAATTTGGGGCTGGGGGGAAGGCTCAAATAGTGGCTTTAAATTGCTATGAGCACTTCCTTTCCTTAGGGTGCATCAACCATGATCTGTAGACCTTCCTTTATAGGTCATATATTCAACCTCCTAATTCATTTCAACACACAGCGGAGGGAAGTACATACACCTTACAACTCATTACTGAAGTTACCATAGCTCACGTTTGCTGAGCACTCAGTTAGAGGCAGGCACTGTTAGGTATTTGATGGACGTCAACCTGTTACACAGTTCTACAATGTATACAGAATGTCTGCTTTGTAAGGTCACACCTGAGGGCTGCAGATACAGTGAGGAAGTAGATATGGCCACTGTGTTTTATACTCAGGCTTTCTAACACACAAGAGATGAAGGACGATCAGACAGGGCAGAGAATTAAAATAGGTTATAACAGATGAATTTTGAAGCTTCCTGGAATTGTTAAGCTAGAAAGAGTTCTCTTGGGGCAAGCAGCTGGCATGGCGATTAAGGCACTGGATGGCCACATGGCTGACCGCTGTTCAAGTTCCGGACCTGGTGGTTTGCTTTCTCATTTTCCCTCTGTCTCTGGCAAATTAAAATAATAGCAATAATAAATAAATAAAATTAAATAATTTTTTTAAAAAAAAGAAAAAAAGAGTTTTCTTACTATGAAATCTAAATAATAAAAATGAATTAGTCGTTCCTTGGTTGTTAAGATGTGAATCTCTGAGGCCTTGGGAAAAACCCTGAAGTGTGGACCAGAACAATGTTGGCAGAAAAAAACACTACACGCCAAAATGGCCAGTGTGAGTAAAGTCTAGGGGAGAGGGCCTCGCCAGGATGTGGATTAAGGACATGGCAGTCTAGGTCTTGTCTGACAGGGAAGCTTTCACGGTTCTGGAGCCGGAAAGGATGTGATCTGCTTTCTGTCGTGGTGGGACATTCTGGAGGCTTTGGCAAAGATTGCAGGAGAAGCTGGTAAACCAGTAAGGAGTCAGAGTCCAGATGATTTAGGAGGACCCTCTCAATACTCCAAGCAATTCTGAGGAGGGGGTACTCCTATTAGTACAGTTTCAGAAGTGCATAAACAGAGGTGGTGAAACTCTCCCCTAGTTATAAGGCCGGTGAGCAGAAGCTCTAGGCTGAGAGCCCAGGTGGCTGTCTGCAGGGACTTCACCTCCACCATACCCTGACCCTTCCAATGGTCTTTCATGATCCAACAACTGTGTGGCTTCTTCATGAAATCTTCCCTAAAACACCCTAATCCACTTGGTTCTCTACTAGCTGTTCCCAGAGGATCTGGTTAACACACCAGAGCAAGGTTCAGTCAACCACGGTCTTGAGCCAAAATGTCTTTTTGTAAATGGTATTTTCCTGGGACATAGCTACACTGTCCATGAATACAGTCTACAGCCACTTTCACTCCCTAAAAACAGAGCTGAGCAGTGTGATGGATCACAAGGGTTCAGAGAGTCAAAATACTCACTACTTGGCCCTTTATAGGAAACACTTTGCTGACCCGTTTCAGAGCGGAGTGCACACCACACACTCTCCACTAAGGAGACCATCTTATCTTCTTCGACCTATGTGGGTACTACTCTTCTCCTTGGCAAGAATCACAGGACTTTTGGATAAAAACCTAGTTTTCTGGCCACTCTTTTTCACGTTCCTGTATCAAAAACCAATAACTGATTTGGATTCATGGCTTAAAACTGAAGGGCTCATCAGTGAGGGAGAGAGTTCATTAATTCTCCATTAATCAAACACTTTCAATTTTGTCTATTCTTTTCATCTTTTTGAACGAAAGTTCAAATTTACAGAAAATCTACAAGCATAGCCCAGGTAATTCCCATGTAACTTTTTCCCAGATTCACCAACTGTTTGCATTTTACTCCATTGTTTTCCTCTCTTCTCCCTCCTCTTTTCCTCCTCTATGTGTTATTTTTATCCTGAATCATATGAAAATAAATTCAGATACCAGGTAGCAATATATCTAAGTATTTCAATGTATTTCCAGAAAAGAAGGATATTCTCTTTCATAAATTTTCCTTAAAATCAGGAAATTGAACAATATCATACTATTAATATTATCTAACCCCAATCCATATGCAGATGATATTTATTGTCTTTAGTAAAATGCTTTGTCTTTTTTTTTTTTGTCTTCCTAATCCAGAATCATAAATTGCACTTAGTAGTCAACACTGTTGTACCAATCTTCAATCTAAAACAGTTTCTCAGCTTTAGTGTTCCTTGAAATTGAACATTTTAATTCAAGCCATCTAGTAGCTTGTTCTTCAATTTGGGTGTTCTGAGGTTTCATGTGATCAAAGTCAGGTTGTACATTTTAGCAGGAACACCACAAAAGTTTGTCCTCTTGGGTATGTTATTAACCTTGATCATTGGTGAAGTTTGGGTTCACCAAGTTCTTCCATTGCAATTAAGAAGTAATTTGCCAGGGAAAATCTGATACTATGTACATATATTCTGCTTTTCATTAACTGTGCAACTACTAGTTTTAGAACCCATTGATGATCTCCTAACTACCATTCTTTTTATATCATTAAACCCTCTACATTTGTTTTACTCACGGAGTCTGATTTAATGGATTAGAGTTCCTAGTCACTGTCTCTCATTTTGATACTCAAATTGCTCAGATTTGATATAGAAGAGTCCTTTTGAGCTGGCCTGTGTTCTTTTGATGGGTTCTACATCATTTTCAGCACTTTCTCATTTTCTGGTACAACACAATGTCTCAGGTCATTTCATGCTTTACCTGCCCTGGCATCAGAAGACTTGGCTCTGGTAGTATTGCTCATGGAAAATGTGTATTAAGAAAGGAATATGCAGAGATTTCTGAGTTTTTACACCAAAATTGTTGCTATTATGGAGAAAGTGTTAGTGATCTAGAGAGAAGATCAAACAGCATGATACTCCCTTAAGTCAATGCCTCGTCTGAGCAAAGCCATAACTCTCCCTAATTCTATGAAGGCTGAGAGAGGTGAAGCAGCAACAACAGAAAAGGCTGAAGCTAGCAGAGTGGTCCATGAGGGGAAAGAAGCCTTCTCCATAACCTAAGTGCAAGGTGAGGCAGCAAGTGGTACTACGGAAGCTGCAACAAGTTAAACAGAAAATATAACTAAAATAGCTGGGCAAGGCGGCTACTCTAACAGTGGAATTTTCAAGGTAGATGAAACAGCCTTACACTAGAAAAGATGCCACCTAGAACTTTCACAGAGAGAAGTCAATATCTGCACACACGCACCTGGTGTGTTTTAAGCCACTGAGTCTGGGACTTGAACCACAGTTGACTACGTGGGAGTCCAGTGATGTAACCATTGAGCCAACTGCTGGTCCCTAGGGCTCTTAAGAATTATGCTAAATATAATCTGCCAGTGGCCTATGAATTGAACAAAACCTGAAGGACGGCTGTTTAGAGTATGGCTTAATGAATATTTGAAGCTCTCTGTTGTGAACTATTCTCAAAAAAATGTTGCTTTCAAAGTATTACTGTTCTGGGCCGGCTGGTGGTATACCGTGGTTAAGGCAGCCAGATTCCATATGGCTGATTGTGCAGTGAGTCCCAGACTGGTTAACTTGTGGGTGTATGTGTGGGCAGGGCTCAAAGAAGGGAATGATGAAGGAGAAAGAATTGCAGCATGACCATCCTCAATGAGATGCTTTTTCACACCCCCCCCACTCTGCTCCAGTGAGAAAATTAAAATATATTATATATTACTGCTCACTGACAATGCACCTGGTCACCAAAGAGCTCTGATGGAGATTAGCATTGTTTTTTTTTTTTGGAGAGATTTTCACTGTAAGGCGCGTGCGCTCGCCAGACAGACAGAGAGAGACATAGAGACAGAAAGCGAGAAATCACCCCCCAGGAGGGATGGTCACGCCGCAATCCCTTCTCCTCCATTCTCCTCTCGGGATCTTGGGCACGCACACGCTCCCGGCGTGAGTTTTAAGCCACCGGGTCCGGGACACGAACCGCGGTCGACTACGTGGGAGTCCAGTGACATAGCCATTACGCTAACTGCTGGTTCCCGAGATTAGCATTGTTTTTATGCCTGCTAATGCAGCATTTATTCTGCAACCCATAGACCAAGGAGTCATTGCAACGTTTTTTATTTTTTTTTTTAATTTGCTAGAAGGCCCATGCATTCATCAGAGAGGGAGGGAAAAGGAAAGGGAGAAAGTACCTCCGCAGTGGGGCAGGTCACACTATACTCCTTTCTCCTCCATTTCTCCATCGCATCAGGATTTGGGGTATATACACACATGTGCCCCATGTGCTTTCAACCCACTAGGGCTAGGATTTGAACCACATAGTTGGCCATATGGGATCCAATTCTCTTAACCAGCAGGCCATGCGACTGGCCTCATTTCAACTTTCAAGTCTTATGAGTTACAAAATACATTTTATAAGACTAGAGTTGCTATAGTGATTTTCTGATGGATCTGGGCAAAGTCAACTGAAAACCTTCTAAAAAGAATTCAACATTCTAGATGCCATGAAGAACATTTGAGATTCAAAGAAGTCAAATGCTTAACATTACCAGGACTTTGGAAGAAGCCAATTCCAATCAGAAGTATTTGATAAAGCAGCATGGTTTCAGAGCACTGATTCCCATTTTAAATGTTCTACTGTGGTTAAGATAGCATACAACATCATATGCTTCAAAGAAATCTTTTGCAGAAGGGAGAATCAATTGAAGTGGCAAACTTTTCTCATTTTAAAAAATTGCTGCAGTGACCCCAATCTTCAGCCTCTACTGATCAGTCAGCAGCCATTAACCCTCCATCAAC